AACAATATGAAGTTCTACTTGTACAATATGAAGTTCTACTTGTACATGCATGTGTAGTATGACCTAATGTCATACTACACATGCATGTACAAGCAATACTATAATATATATATATATATATATAATATATATATATATATATATATATATATAATATATATATATATATATATATATACAGGAGGGCCCCACTTATACGGCGGTTAGGTTCCAGGCTATCGCCGTAAAGTGGAAACCGCCGTAAAGTGGAACACCCTTTTTTTTCCCACTTACAAATGCATACAAACACAAAATAACAAGTTTACACTAACATATATTATGTTAGCAATAGAACCAGGGATCAAAAAAACAATAAAAAAGTACAATACACACATAGTGCACTCATTACTTACCTTAAAATATTTATAGTCTTAATCTAGGGTGAGACAATAGTATTTATTGTAAGAAATCAAGTGTGGTATGTATGTAGTCAGCCAGCTACCATACCAGGCCACCCCACCCACACATACTATTCTATGATATTTAAGCATCCCAGAGCGATAAAATGTATTACAGTTCACTCATTACTTACCTTAAAATATAGGGTGAGATGAGTAGTATTTATTGTAAAAAATCAAGTGTGGTATGTATGGTAGTCAGCCAGGCTACCATACCAGAGAGAAAGAATGAGTGCATGAGAGAGGACAGGCGCAGAGTTATGTAAACAAACCAGGCGAAGGTAAGTTTTGTAAACAGTGTACACGTCTGGTTTGTGTACAAGTTACATTGTGTACAGGTTGTCTCTACATTGATACGGTAGAATAAATAAAGAAGAACACTCCCATTCTCATGTAACATCATTTTGAGAAGAAATGATGCTCTGAGTGAAGGAAATGGAAGTAAGCCCACTCTGACTTTTTTGGGTTTAAATCCTAGGTTCTCTACACATATGTTGTTATGTATTTATGTTAGGTATCGTGTTTATTATATAATTTTGAAAAAAATATCACGGATGGATTAATGAAAATGTGTATATTAATGTAATATACAACATTTAATGATACACCGAGCTCAGACAGCGTAAACAAACTGAACAGGTTGTGGACGATCACTTGGTCAGGCGAAATAGACGGTATTAATACGTGTCCAGTTTTAGTTTATTCATGTACATTTGTAAGAGTTTGTGAAACTTTTAACCTTATAATTTTTTATTATTATTAATAATAATTAAATCACGAAACAAATACTCTTACACTGTGTACAAGTTAGTACAGAATTATAGCTATAAAGTGAAGGCATACGAAAGGAATATTTTTTCTACAGTTATCCCTAGTAAAAGGTGACGGGCTAGAGAAAACGTAATTCTTCCGACACTTCTACAAACCGTTTGGTAAACATCTCATATATATTTGCATAAATTTTTATACTGTGGGTGCATGTATCATGTTTGTGTGTTACATAATGTGTTTCTTATATAATTTTGAAAAAAATACATAGATAAAGGGGAAATGTCTATATTAACGTAATATGCGACATTAATGCACCCAAGAAAATTATTATTATTATTATTATTATTATATTTTTTTCCCATCAAAAGTAAGAAAACTTAGTGATTTTAATGTGTACCTACATGCCAGCACAGTGTGTAAGTTTATTTAGGTACAGGTGTACACAAGTTAATTATCAAGTACAATACATATAAATAAACAATAATTTTTAAAACACTTGAAATTTTGGAAAGTTTCCAGACATAATAAGGAGATGTGCTCAGGGAGAATGTAAACCAAACTCGGTGGGCAGCTGTGACCGTATTAGAAAGACAGGTGGGGGAGCCGTAAAAGCGAGTTTTGGTCATAATTTGAAATGTCCGTATTAGCGGAACGCCGTAAAGAAAACCCCGCCGAAAAAGGGGGGCCCTCTTAATATAATATATATATAAAATATATATTATATATAAATATATAAATATATATTATATATAAATTATATGTGAACTCTGCCTGGAGAAAATTGTGGCCAGTTTTGTGTCGCCAAGAGGGTTTTTGAAGAATTTGGGACTGACCCTATGAGCCTATGTCTGTTGTAAAAATCAATTGTGGCACTGGGGAGTTCCATGGGTTGGAGTTGAGTTTGGAGGAATGTGGAAGAATTGGTGGAAGACCACAATGAAGAGCTCACCACTGAGGAGCTGCAAGAGCTTCAGCAGGAAAGCAACACATCGCAGCTCAGAATCTTGCTGCAGAGGAGGAGGAAGAGAATGGAAGAAGGTGCCTTCAGAAATTAAAGAGATTTTTACTATGTGGGGTAAGATAAAAAGCTTTATGGAGAAACATCACCCTAACAAGGTTGTTGCAAGCCAGGTTGGCAACATGTACAGTGACAAAGTCTTGGGCCATTTTAGGGGAAGTGTTAAAGAGACGCCAGAAACAAAAGCTCTTTCCCCAGTTATTTTGTGAACAGGACTCCAGTGGACTCTCAAGGGGTCCTAGTGCATTAAGAAACAGAGAAGAGAAGCAACCCCCGAAAAGCAAATGGTACCTGAGGTGTTGATGGAAGGGGATTCCCCTTCCAAACTATAAACTATCCACTCTCTCTCCTCCTCCAGTCTCCCATACACTAAGAAGAATCTCCAATAAAGTAAGTGTTTTTGCTGTTAAAAGTTTCCCTTCATCATTTCCCATTGTATTGTTTATGTACTACACGCATATTTCATGTTAAAAATTTTTTGTTTTAATACTTCTGGGTGTCAGGAACGGATTAAATTATTTACATTATTTCTTATGGGGAAAATTGATTCGTAAATCGTAAATTTCGTTTATAGTAACGGCTCCAGGAACGGGTTAATTTCGAACAACGAGGGACCACTGTATATATATATATATATATATATATATATTATATATATATATATATATATATATATATATATAAAATACACCACACACACATTTGGACCCCCGCCTTACGATATTAATCCATTCCTGAGAGCTCATCATAAGCCGAAATTATCGTTAGAGATTAATTTTCCCCATAAGAAATAATGGAAATCAAATTAATCCATTCCTGACACCCCAAAGTATGAAAAAAAAAAATTTTACCATATGAAATATTAATTTTAATACACACAAACTGAAGACATGCACAATTACTACTCTACTAAGAATAGAATACATGACACTTACCTTTATTGAAGATCTGGTGATGATTGATGGGATGGGGGGAGGAGGGGAGAGTGTGGAAGTTATTATTTAGAAGGGGAATCCCCTTCCATTAGGACTTGAGGTAGCAGTCCTTTCCCTGGGTTACTTCCCTTCTTTTAATGCCACTAGGACCAGCTTGTGAGTCACTGGACCTCTTGTCGCACAACAAATCTGTCCATAGAGCTCTGTACCTCCCGTTCCTTCAAGACTTTCCTAAAATGGGCCATAACATTGTCATTGTACTGGTTGCCAACACGGCTTGCATTAGATGTGTCAGGGTGATTTTCAACCGTAAAGGTTTGCAGTTCAACCCACTTTGCACACATTTCCTTAATCTCTTTTTTCAATTCCATACTAATTCTCGCCTTTTTTACCACAGGGATGGCACTAGAAGCTTTCTTGGGGTCCATGGTGACTTATTTTGCAGTTACAAGCACTAAAAACACTGGGATAATGTGAAATGTACCGAATGTATTCATAGATGCGACTGCACTGGCTGGTTTGTAAACACTGGAGATGAGGCCACACGTGGGACGTGTCCCGGACGAATCACGTAAGGCGAGTTTTTTATCGTGAGGCGAGGCAAAATTTTGCGATTCAAATGCTTCGTATGGTGGATTTAACGTAACGTGATGCGTTCGTAAGGCGGGGATCCATTGTGTGTATGTATGTATGTATGTATGTATGTATGTATGTATATGTATATATATTATGTATGTATATATATATATATATATTATTATAAATATATATATATATATTATATATTTATATATATATATATATATATATTATATATATAATATATATAACACAATACTGTGACACACACACAACAAGGGTGTCGTAAACAGGCGATATCACAACATGCAAAACAACCACTGTGAAAAAATAGTGAACGTCCAAGCACTTTTGTAATTTCTCACATTATCATGGACGCTTTGCGGGCATGCATGCATGTGTGCATGCACATGGACAAGTGCACGCACACACACACACATACACAATATTATATCCAGTGCACAGCACACTTATTTCTGGAGAATTTCCATAAAAAAACACTACAGGAGTAAAGTGCATACTGACTTCCATGGGGTCTTTCATCTGGATATAACTGTTGATTAACATCCAGGTACCTACTTACTGTTTGGTGAACATGCCCAACTTTTACATTTGTCCTGGAATCAAACCCAGACCCTCCAAATTTGAGGTGAAGGTACTACCCGAGTAGTGAGTACCCATGATTGTGTGTAATATGTAATGTGTTTCAGTTCTAAATAAACAAATATGTATATATGGTCTAACATCTAAATAATTAATAAAAATGATGACAGCTGAATCTCTGGCTCTTGATCTAAAGAACTTTGAGTATGAAAGGTAGATGTTTACTAAAACTTATGTAGATGGAAATAATTGCAATGTTTCGATCGCCTGAAGCTTCATCAAGACTGAACTGGGGCTTAACAAAACTTCCGGCGAGCAAAGCATGGGGTAAGCTAAAAAAAAAATATCCAAATGTTACAAATATGTCCAAAGAATTAGAGCTACCATCCCTAAGCAAGTTTATTCAGGTACAGGTACACATAAATAAAGTTACATCAATTATCATACATAGTAGCATATGTGTAGATTACCTAGGATAACCTAAAAGTCAAAGTGACTTATTTCCATTGGGGTCCTTTAATCAAAAATTTAACTGCCTCCAATTTCCTATGTAGGCTACTCCCACTTAGTACTTCCATGTCTGTACAAGTTGTATCATGTACCTGTAGAAATAGACAATATATTATTATGACTAATAACTCAGTCCCAAGTACAAACCTTATTGTCGGTCGTTTTCTTCTTCTTATCGCTTTTTGACAGCGTGCAAGAAACAATGCAGATCAATGATAGTAGCACCGTCAGCTTCAGCAACATGGTTAGAGCACAGGTGTCAGTGTGAAGGTTGTTAAGTGCCACGAGTTGACACCTCACTGTATCTGTGTTATTGTTTACCCTGGCCAGGCCAGCCAGCAACTCGTCCGCAATCTTCAGTTGTGACTTTGTCTTCGTAATTTACATGCCTTGGTTTTTCAGTTTAGAATACTATACGAAAATTAAACTGTAATAAATTTGGAATGAAAAACAGTACTTATTTATTTTATGGGTAGGTCGAAATAAAATCCAGAAGTCTTAATACAGTGTACAAGTCATCTTGAATTGATGGGAACATAAATTACTCAGTTAGAAATGTATTATTCAAGTGCATATGGACGCATTATAGATTTATCTAGTGCAGTACAAGATACGAATAGCATCTGGGAAAAACATTGTTCATGTCATCACGTAACTATGGAGATAGGTACACAAAACCGTTGCCAAGTCACCACACAACACTCCCTGCATACTGAAACACATGACACTACAGCTAGTGCAAATTACCTGCATTCTTCTTTACTATTATTATTATAATCATGACTAAGCGCTAAACCCATACAACGCTGCGGATGTTACCTGCAGTCATCAGAAAGTAAGCTCCGTGTATATCCAAGAAGATGAAACATGTTAGCTAACTCTGCAGAACCGTCCTTTTCCACAATTTTACCTCCTATGATTGTTTAATTCTGGCTTGACTATAAATAAGATCGAAAGCTCCCGAGAATTGTAGAAATTCTGCTCTTGACTCGCCCAGGCAGGTCATAGCAGCTCTCCTTACTCTGTCTCCCTACGATCCCCGTTGGGGAGGGGAACCTTTACGAGCGTCGTCTTTGCCTTGACTTACACGATGAGCTACGCAAATCGTGTCAAGATCAAACCAACAAATGGTACCGTTGATGATTCAGCGAAGATTGCTCTTGCAACTATTGTTCAGGGAGCACTGCAAGTAAAACTCAACACCATATTGTCACTGAAAGAAGCATTCATTGTTGTGTGTCACGATGATGCTGAAGCAGAGAAGATACTCACTACAGAAACCACCACAACTCTTACTGCTCAAGGATTTACTGTTGCATCATCTCCTGCCCTCAGGGCAAGGAAATCAGTATTCCTTAAAAAACTTGACAAGATTCTGACTTCTCAATCAACTGCTGAACTCAAGTCATCCATCGAGACGCAAAATACTTGGGCTACTGTTGACAGCATTACAAAAATCCCAAATGCAACGTCCATGCTCAAGGTCATCTTCACCGACGTGAACATGGCTGCCACTGCACTGAACGAAGGTCTTGCTGTCTACTACTACTATATCAGTCCTACCTACATTGAAGCAGAAAGATACCACTACATTCAACATTGCTGGAACTGTTATTCATACCATCACACACCACCAAAGCATGTCCAGTAAAAGACAAGAAGTTCTGCACTACATGTGGTAGTGAGGGACACACCTTCAGTTCCTGCACCGCTGCTACCCAACACAACCACGTGCTAACTGCAAGAGTAAAGACCACCATACACTGGCAGCAAATTTCCTACAAGGGAAAGGGTATTATGAAGAAAACACAAGATGCAGCAAAGAAAAAACCTACTAGCAACACTCCAACGTAGCAGCAATTGCAAAGATACAAGCAAACACCACAAAATTACTTCAAGCATCTACTCAGCCCGCCTCCACCATCATCACTCCTCCAACATGTGACGTAACCAAGATCCACTACTGCTTACCTAACGACATCAGAACATGGCGTACCCTGGATCCTTAACTTAAAATCAACGAGTTATTTGCATTAAATAATATCCATCATTCAAATTTTCCCCCCCATCTCCCCCTTCGGAAGAAATAAAATTTTACCCAAAAGGAACTAATCCCCCCGCTGAGGCCAGCAGCCCAACACCACCAACCCCAGTGCCCTCACTAAAACGTCTTTTTCTTTTCTTATGACCCGCTTTTGGGAAGATGGGGGGAAGGGAAAAAGGGTGGGTAAAGGTGGAAATAAATTTGGAAAAGGGGGGGGGGGGGGGAGAGGTAGGGTATAAAGGTAAGTGGGGCCCAACCCTTTGGTGTAAATTAAAGGTGTATGTGAAAAATAAGATATTTTAAAGGGGTAATAATAAACCCATCAGAGCAAAAATATAAAATGTATTAAGTAATGACTCTGAATTGGTAGTAATTAACAAATTCAATTGCTTTTTTTTTTTTTTTTTTTTTTTTTTTTTTTTTTTTTTTTTTTTTTTTTTTTTCGATTGCCAACGGATATTTATGCGACAATGAAGGCAAAAAAATTTTTGGCCCGTTTATAATTTCGGACAAAGGTTCTTAAGGGGGTGTCCAGCCTAGAAAATGCAAAATTTTTACATTAAAAAGTATATACGATGTTCCCCAATTGGGGGGGATGATTTTCTCGTATACAAGAAGGGTTTGGTGGTACCCAAATTTTTTAAACAGGGAGGTTGCTCAATATATGGGCGGGGTAATCATCTTTATAAAAAAACGACGGACCCCCCCGGGGAGATCTTTTTGAGTCCTTGAGGGGAGTATGATGGTTAATCGTGGGGAATTTTCCCTTGATAGGATGTTCTCTATTGGCATGTATAGTTCTTGCTTGTTAAAGTTGTTTCTTTTTTTTGGGGTGTCAAGGCTACTTTATGGCAGTAATATCTTTTTTGATGTGTAAAACTGCCATTTTAACTCTGTCTCCCTCCCGGTAGGTAAAAAAGCGAAAAGCTTATCGGACCCCTTTTTAACCGTAGCAGTTGGGCTTGTTGTTAATGACATTGGGACACAAGGGTATTCGAGTATTTGGGCTTATTATCATTTTAACAGGTTTTTTCATGTTTAGGGGCTTTTATGAAACGAAAAAGACTGCAAAAACCGGGGTTTGGCTTTAAAATTTATCTTTTTAGTTAAAGAGATGTTTTAGGGAGCAGCCTGTTATTTCATCCAAAATCTTGTTAGGGGTTTTTAAAAGGTACAGGGTCCTTGTGGAGATCCCCCTTTTCTTCAATTGTTGATGCAAAACATCCCTATTTGTGCAACAAGGACCTTGTAGGGTTAGTCGTAAATTTTCCCTTTCTTTTCCAATTTTGATTTCTACGAAGTTAATATTCATTTTTTTCTATGACTCTCTATACTTGTATTTTCTTTTTCCGGAGTTGATGAGACGACTGAATAAAATTTATCTGCAAACGTGTCCAATTGTACATTAAACTTGGGTTGGGAAGGCATTCACATAAATGTTAACAGAATTGGACTTAGACAAGAACCTTGGGGGACACAGTTTTTGGGTAAAAAGGCTCTGTGTTGCCATAAAAGGGGGGAATGATTTTTGGGTTGAGTTAAGAAATTATATTTAATCTGGAAAAGCCTTATGGTCTGGTAGGTCAATGAGTTTGTATTGGCCCAATCCCCAAAAGCATAAAAAAGCTTTATGACACTCTGGTGGAAATTTAAAGGCAAGATTCCCTGATGTTTTAGACTTGCTACAGTATCAAAAAAATAACATTATTGAATGATTGGACCTCTTGTTTTAAAACCCCAAATTTTTTTTTAGTAAAAAAGGTTTAAAAACTCCATATGTATTTCAATTGTTGGAAATAACTTTTCAAGTTTTCCAGTGATTTTCAAGTAAAGATAAAAGTCTATTTCCCGGGTTTGGGTGGAGCTTACTGGGTTTCCCAAAAAAAGTCATCGTTGAGTTTAAAACAACGGGAAAATGCCCTGAGGCCAAAGTGGCATTAAAGATATTTACCAAAGACTTTTAAAATTTTAGGAGGTATTTTTTTGTTTCTTGTTTTTCCCAGAGGGGCCCAGGGGTTTATTCTCATTTTTCCCAATAACCTGACTTATCTCTAGAAAATGTAAAGGTCTGTAGGGGGGGTACTTAAAGGTTGAAGTACGAGGGAAAGGGTAGGGGTTTGTAGATCACCAAGTTTCATCTCCCTTTCATTGCCCAAATGAAATGATTATTATTAAATGACGACTGTTTTGTGGGAGAGAATTTTCTCCATAATCACCCATCAAATTCCCTGGTCCTGTGGATCGTAAAGTTTAATTTCAACATCTTATCCCCCTTCAGTAAAGGTATGAACTATAGTTGGGAGCCTTGTGCTTTGCCCAAAAATTTGTGGGATCTTACCCCAAAAATTTTTTGGGGTTCACGTTTATACTGATTAGCTTAAAGAACTAAAAATTTTCCCATAGCCCCTTTGTGTTGATAATCATTTTAATTAATTTGTGCCTTAATCGGTGCAGTGAGTCTGGGGGTTGCCTTTTAAAGATCCCTTGACTTTGCTTATAATTTCTTAAATTGTCTCAAATTCCCTTAGTGGTTTATATTTTTGGTATATTTTTGTGGAAGCAAATGGCAAGTTATTAGTAGCTTCAATAATTCGATTATGCAGGGACTATTGCACATAAATTGCTTTGGGAAAGGTAGATTACCAATGACACAATTTCTCCTCACCCAGATATGCCCAAAGGGGGTCAAACCCTGGGTGTTAAGATTGGGGTTTAGGAGGTAAGGTTTTCTAAGGGAGAAGGTTTGAGTTTATTATAAGGGATATGGTCAGACCCTAATTTCCACAGGAGATATACACAGTGAAAGAGTCACTTCTGTTTGTCAGTACTTATTGGTGTCCCGGATGAGGTCCAATGTACTTTTAAAGAAGGGGCCCTTTAAAATGACAAGTTTCTAGCTGTCATATATTAAAGGTTGTTTTCCTTTTAAGTCACCCAGGGAACACCAGCTCCAAGTTAAAGAGGGCGGGTGATGAGCATTAAAATCTCCCGCTGAATTTTTGGAATATTTCTGCTTAATATCCTAGGTAGAGGAATTGACTATATATGGTTTTTCCGGGGGAAAATTCCAGTTCCTATCACTAGTTGCCCATGGGGACTTTGTTATTTCTATTGCATCAAATCAACATGAATTTTTTTAAATGTATAGCCTAATTTAACTAAGATGGCTACACCACTAAAGGGCCCCTCTCGATTTCTCCACAGAGAGAAACCCACGAAATTTTAATATTTTTGATCAATCTTGCCCCTGTCTTTTTCAAAAGATAACCGGGATTGTAGTTATGTAGTTAAACCCTAAGAAGGTAACGGTTATTAAAGAAATG